TGCTTCTACACAAATTTCACATCTATGATAATAATTAATTTCAAACTTTGGTATATAATATAAACCAATTAATCTACGCAAAACATCAAAATTCACATGTCCTAATCTACCATGCCATAAATTCGACTTAAGAATATAAGCAAAAGATGTGTTATTCTTTTTCATAGCAACTTTCGGTACAACTGTCATTACATTTAATTTGAAGAGACCATCACTCATGTATTTCTTATCAACATACATACCACTCTTTGATAATACAAATTTATCAGACTCAAATACAAGCCTAAAACCATTTTTACTTAACAAAGAGTTAGAAACCAAATTCTTCTGGATGTCAAGTACATGTAGTACGTTGTTGAGGGTCAGTTCTTTCCCTGATGTCATCTTCAAGATCACTTTTCCTTGTCCAGCCACAGTAGAAGTAGAAGAATTTCTCATGAAAAGTTGTTCACCATTTGCAACCTCATTATAGGTAGTGAATATATTCTTGTTCGCACAAATATGACGAGTTGCCCAGTGTCAATTCACCATTCCTTGGGATTTCCAACCAAATTAGCCTCAGATACCACAGCAGAAAGGTTGATGTCATTCACTCCGTCAGAGATGTAATCTAGTTCAGTTATATTGGCTTGATTGGTGGTCTTCTTACTTGTATTTCCATGATCCTTCTTAGGGCGACGACAGTCAGAAGCTCGATGTCCAGTCTTACCACAGTTATATCATTTTCCTTTGAACTTCTTGTTGCCATTGTTGTCGCCTTGTTTAGGACCATCTTCAGTAAACTTCTTATTTTTGTTATGTGGTTTGTGAACTTGTTCAACCACATTAGTCTTGGATTGAATGGGATTTTTCTCATTCCTCTTTTCAGTCTTTCAGTTATCTTCCCCAATTTTCAATCTTACAATCAACTCATCGATAGTCATCTCCGTCCGTTTATATTTTAAATAATTTTTGAAATCTTTCCAAGTTGGTGGTAACTTTTCCACTAGAGCAGCGACTTGGAAAGATTTTCTTAAAGACATACCTTTTGAATGAATATCATGCAAAATTATTTAAAAATTTTGAACTTGAGAAATTACCGTTTGGGAGTCTACCATAACAAAGTCCAGAAATTTACCGACAACAAATTTCTTCGTGCCGGCATCTTCTGTCTTGTATTTCTTCTCCAAAGAATCCCACAATTCTTTTGCTGACTTTAGAGGACTGTAAACATTATACAGCATGTTGTCAAGGCCATTAATGATGTAGTTTCTGCAAAGGAAATTTGAATGTTTTCAAGCGTCTACAATGGCAACAACTTGCCGATCACTTTCACCCTCTTTAAGTGCTAGAGCCTCTTCACGGAGAAATCGGGCCAAATTAAGAGTTGTAAGATAGAACAACATCTTCTGCTGCCATCTCTTAAACTCAGTACCGTTAAATTTTTTCGATTTTTCTCCGTGATTTATTGGTACTTGAACATAGTTCTGGATAGGGATCGGAGTTGGTGTAACAGTTGGAGTATCATTACTAGTTACAGATCAGTTGTAGTAGCCATAATATCTGATTAAAGAAATCAGGAAAAACAAACCACAAATTAATTTTCTAGTTATTAAAACCAAAAAATAAATTATAACACAAAATAATTTTATTTTCCTTGTTACTAAAACCCAAAAAATAAAATACCACAATAATTTTTTGTAACACCAAATAATATTCTGCAATTGTTAATAATACCAGTATATTACTATTAGTTGTCAAAGAAAATAGACAATATATTACTACTATCTGTCAAATAGTTTAAAATTACTATTTGTATTTTACAACCAGAATATCACTTTGAAAACACAGAAAATTAAATTCAATGAAGACACCAAAAAGAGTCTGTCTTAAGATTGTTGGACAATCTTCACTGTATTTAAATTAATTAATTCTGTTGTGTACTTAACAACAAACAGAATATAAAAGAAAAATAGGAAAAGAGAATGAATGTTTGATTACAAAAATCAAACTAGAAATATAATTAAATAAATAAAAACAGATTTTATTTTGTTACCAAAAAAAAATTAAAATCTGATTTAAATAAATAATAATAAAACAGAAAATAAATAAATAACTTACTTGATTAATATTTTGAATATTATTCTGATCAAGTCCAGTGTTCGACACTGTGTCCTTAAGATAAATTCGTCCTCTCCACGGTACTTTCAAAATATGGACGTCTATTTCCCAAGATAAAATGATCTATCAACAAATAAATGTTGCACTACAATTTATTTGAACAACGAACACACAAAGTGTTATACTCTTTCTCACAAGGAAAATAATGCAACAATATGTAGAGAGTAATTGCAGAATAATATGGACGAAAATTGTGAATGAATTCATCAAATGAGGGCTGCCTATTTATAGATGGATTAGTGGCTGCTGGTTTTGAATTTAAACAGGTAGCAAACCTGTTCGAACAGGTACTAAACCTGTTGGTTTGAATTGGTACTGTTTGAGTTCAAATTCAAACAGATAAAACCGAATTTGCACAGATTTGAATCTGTTCGGATGGGAGAAAACCAGACTCAATTTTGAATTTAAATTCCGAAAATCAAATTGAAAAAATTAGAATTTAATTTTAGAAAAATAAATTCAAATGTTTTTGGCCCAAAAAGATAGGTATTGGGCCGAACAAGCCTAACCTCGCACCCGCACCCAGGCCCAGGCCCAACCCGCCCGTGGTGATTTTTGGGTCCAATGGTTCTAGCCCATTTTGCCTATAACTTCTCCATTCTACAAACTTGGGTACCCCTTGAGGCACACCCCAAATTCCAATCCTAAGCCTTATAAACCCATTCAAAACTTCCCACTAAATCAATGTGAGATAAGTCTTAATCAAACCTTTAAGGATTTTCCACCAAAACTCCATTTCCATGGAGCACACTTTGGGTTCAATTTCTCATTCACTCGATAATGGTTTTAAGCAACTAAATATACCACGTGAATAACAATGCGGCATAGAACGCGTTATCACTTAGACCTGGTAACTTTGACGTACGGGTCCCACCTAAATAAATGACCAAAGTTAAGAAAAAATTCTAGTTTTACCTAGATTTTTCAAAACGTTTCTAACAAAATCAATGTGGAATTATTTCTTTATTTTGTACAGCTACAAAGTTTTGGCCAAAGTGAAACTTTTCTTGGCCACAGAAGTAACCTCTTTTTTTAGGGGGTTTAATAAAGGGGGATTTGGTGATAGCCCCCTCACTATCTAATTTGTCTTTCAAAAGGACAAGAATTATATAAGTACTTTCAAAACCCAATAATATTTTAAAACTTATTTCTTTTACCATATTACCCTCATAAAATTTTACTTTGTATGAAAGTAAAATTTTACTCTGTATGAAAGTAAAATTTTATTCTGTATAAAAGTAAAATTTTACTCTGAAAATGTCAAATGAAAAAACAGAACAATAGAACCAGAGTAAAATTTTACTCTGGTTCTATCAAATGAAATTTGATAAAAAAACAACAAAAATAAATCAAAAACAAAACAAACAAAAACAAAACAAATTAATCAACAAATCAACATATCTAATTGAGAAGAAAAACTTCTAAAATTCGATCAACAATCACAAATCTCAATGAAAAGAATACATATGTTCAACAACACTTATACACACAAATATATATATATATACATATATTCTCAAAATCTTGAATGAGGAATGTAACGGCTGCGAGATCTTCAGATTTGGAGATCGTCTTTATCGGCTACGAACTCAGATTTCAAATTTTTCATACGTATGATACTATATATATAAGGGCAATATTGTGATAAAAAAAATAGAAATTATAAAATGTCCTTATTAAGGTAAGCATTTCTTACTCAGAAACTTTTTGAAAAAAAATTAATTAAATTATCTTTTACCCTAATAAAAAGGTCCAAAATGAGAGTTCCACCAAAAATCCCTTTAATAAAGGATAATCGTTCAGCAAATTAAATAATATCATAGAATTTGTATCTTAGGAAAAGATTCTAACTCTTTTTTCTTGGTATTTTCTGTGGTACCAACCAGAATACATAGGTTGTGGGGTCAAAGGCCAAAAAAACTAATCATACTTACACCTACCATTTGAGTTTTGTATTTGTCGTCTTTTGCTTGTAGATTCCAGAACTAATTTTTGCAATTATTATTGATTTCCCTAATGCTTTTAACGCCATGAACATTATGTTTTAGTTGAAGATAATTTTGGTGTGATTTATAGAACAATTGAAATCTGACTCCGCTTCATCATTAGCTCTCAAGAATTGGACTTCATCCTCAATTAAGATGTCAAATCTTAAATATCAATTTTTAAAAGTAATAATTGACATTTTTACAAAATTTAATTAAATACTATTTGTCTAGTTGGCATTTAGGATTACCTTTCTCTTGTCAATTTGACATACGAAGAGAAAAATGTCAAATTTATTAGTATTTATTTTCATTATGTTATATTAAACATACAATACATGGGTTTTGTTCAAAATCTTTAAAAAAAAAATCTCAATTTTATTTGAAACACAATTCAAAGTAAAAATTGTCACAATTTAAATCTTTCAACTTGCCATGTATTGTGTTTCAAATTTAAGATGTCACATAGTCACTTAAATTTTTAAAATAAAACTTGAGATCTTCAAATTTAAAGAAACAGTTGGAAACGCTCTCAATTTTTAAGAAATTTTTTTACAAGTACAATACTAGATCAAGTTTTATAATTTTTACAAATCATTATTCTTTCTCACTATCACATGAAATAACTAATTCATCATTAATTATTCAATTTTAAAAGTTTCATTGTTTTTATTTATATAATTACAAACAAAAGAAAAATAAAATAAAAAACAAAAACCATGTTACAAAAGAAGTGGCCAACAAACAAAGGTGTAAGTTTGGAATTAGTGGGTTGGGGAATCCGAGGGCTATTTTGGTCATTGTGTGTGTAGTTTTATAAGGCTAGGGTTTGGTGTCCGGTTGACTAGTGTACACGGTTTACAGAACCTGTCGTTTATTTAGCCGAATCAGCCACAATGCCACACACCATACTCCTCTGCTCCCTCTTATACTCCATCCATTTCTCTCCCAAATCTAGTCAAATTTCCTAAATTGGAGTTTAGGGTATTCACCTGATCTTGTTTGAGCTTCGTTTCACACTCGCCCTCCTCTCTCCTCTCCATTCCTTGTCTACTAATCAATGGTATCATTCTTCTGGGTTTCTCTAAATATATCTCCTCTGTAATGCTTGGAAAGTTACTGAAGTGTGAGTTTGGCTTCTAAAAAGTAGTGATCATCTTAATGGATCTGAAAGAAAAGGTGAGTGAACCGTGATCGTGTGCTCTCTTTCTTAACTATTATGTCCATTACAGGACTTTACTGTTTACTGATGTTTGATTGGTCCATCTTTATGGCATAGGAAGCAAAAGGACCAGGGGAAATGATGATCAAGAAAAGCTGTAGCGATTGTCACACAACAAAAACGCCTCTCTGGAGAGTCGGCCCTGCTGGGCCAAAGGTAAGAGAGACACCAAACCCAACCATGGTTACTCTGTTTTGGGTCTTCTTTTTCTTTTTCTTTTTTTCTTTTTCTCCCATTTATGATAATTCTTTTTTCATGGGTACTCTGTTTTTCAGTCTCTATGTAATGCTTGTGGGATCAAATACAACAAGAGGAGGAGGGCACTTCTGGGTTTGGACAGAGGAAGGATCGAAAAGGGTAAGAAGAAGAGGAAGAAGAACAGAGGAGGAGGGAACTGCAGAGTGGGAGAGTCATTGAAGCTGAGATTGATGGCATTGGAAACAGACATGGTGTTGCAGAGATCAGAAAAACAGAGGAACAAGTTGGGTGAAGAAGAAAGAGCGGCTATACTGTTGATGGCTCTCTCTTGTGGATCTCTTTATGCTTTTAGAGAAGAGAAGCCCTAACTAATTTACCTGCCAGATTCTCGTCTTTAATTGTAAACCTTTTTTTAGATTTTTAGAAGATTATGAAATTTAAGAAATGATTGTAAGCACTAATATAAACTATAGTGTTTGAGATTGAGATTGAGATTGATGATTGATCAGTTATTCTTCTCAACAGTAGTGTATGAAGCTACGGCTTGCTTTATTTTATTTATTAAATCGCTTTTCATTTTCATTGAACAAGCTGGCGGGAAAATTAGGTTTTGCCGCTAAATTATCCGCCACTGACCACATAACGATTTTCTAGAGTTTTTTTTTTCTAAAGTTTTCTAAAGTGGTGTGTTGTATGGGTGAGATTTAATGCTAAAAAATTGATATGACTTGTCATTAAATCTCAACCATACAACACATCACTTTAGGAAACTTTAGAAAAAAAAAAACTCTAGAGAATCCTTGCTCACTGACCACAAGATATGTAGCAGAAGAAAAATGATTTAGCCTCCGTTTGGGAAGTGGGTTGGCTTTTTGGCTTTTTGGCTTTTTTGGCTATTTTAGCCTGGGCTAAAAAGTTTGGTTTGGGAATGGTGTGTTGTATGGGTGAGATTTAATGTTAAAAAATTGATGTGATTTGTCATTAAATCTCAACCATACAACATACCATTTTAGGAAACTTTAGAAAAAAAAAACTCTAAAAAATCCTTACTCACTGACCACAAGATATGTAGCAGAAGAAAAATGATTTACTAACAAATTTTATTAAATATTTAAAATATAATATATTAGAATAATATAAGGGATTAAGTTGAGTTTGATAACTCAATTTAATTCAAAATTGAAAATATAAAATTATTTTATTTTTAAGTCCTTTTTAAGTGCAATGTAGGGCTTAGTTAGGGTTTTTACAAAATAATTTAAAATTATTTTTAAATTCCAATTATGCCCAAACTGAACCAGTGAATATGCAAGCCCACTGGTTCATTTCATTTGACTTAAAAGAGTGTATGGACATTGATTTCAATCATATTCACCGGTTCATTTCAATGTGGTAAATTTTTTCTCACATATATAATAAATGACTTTAAAAATTATAAAATTTAGCATTAAGGTATTGTTCAGTGTGTTTGGTTTGAGTTTTTTGAATTAAGTTTTTTGAAAATTGAGTTTTTTAGTTTTTGTATTTTTTTGTTTTTAGTGAATATTTTTAAAATTTTAAATATTTTTTTTTACTTTTTTAGATGCACCTTACTTAGATGTATCTAAAAATTAAAAAATTTGTAAAAAAATATTTTTAAAAATTAATAAATACATCAAAATACAAAAAATGTACTGAATTTTCGTATTTTTTTTTGTATTTTTGGTATTTAGTGAATTTTTAAAAGATTTTTTTCAATTTTTTTTTACTTTTTAGGTATATTTATGTTAGGTATGTCTAAAAATAAAAAAAAATTGCTCAAAATATTAAAAAAATTCAGTAAAAACAAAAAAATACAAAAAATAAGAAAGTAAAATTTTTTAAAAAGTGTTTTTGAAAAATAGAATTTTTTAAAAAGTGTTTTTGAAAAGTGATAACCAAGCATAGTGTTAGTATTAAATTTTAATTTTCAATTTTATCCAACGCTACCCCAATTCAATGGCTAAGTACAAGAGTTCTATCAGGAAGTATCAAGAGATCTATCCATTACCTTTACTTTTCTGTTCTTTATTTTTTTATTTTTTAAAAAAAAAGAAAAAAGAAAAAGAAAAAAATGAAACTCCTAATCGTAAAGGTGATTTTATTTATTTAATTATTTTACAGTAGAATTTATATTTTATTTTGAGATCATCTTGGAACTAGCAGTCTTCATAAATAAAGGATCAAAAAGCAGAGTAGCAGAGAATAAAGGAGCAACCGCTTTGAGCTTCTAGGTGACTCCAGAGAACACGAACACGAACACAGTAACGAGGAAGGAGGAGGAAGTACTAGAAGTTGACATGCAATATCTGGAAAACACTAGAAAAGGCTGCCACGTCAAAGATATTTGACACGTGTATGCTATGCTCCCTTCAGTTGGAACTCAAACAGGAAAAGCAGCGGCTGCAAAGTTCATCATCCTACCCTACTTGCTTATTATAGTATTACCAACATCTTCTCAATCTTGTATCACTTTTTGTCCAGCGTCTTCGAGACTCCGAAGAAATTGAGTAAAGAATGGAATCAAGATTAGCGGCCACCGCAAGGGTGAGTTTCCGGGCATTTTCCGGCAGCGTGTCTCGCCACCAATTTCTGCCAAGGGGACTGGCGACGGCCTTCATCCCAACTCGTCACATCGCTGACCCTGCCATTCACTCCTCCGAAGCCTCTGATGTAAGTGTAATGATCAAGGATTTGTGTTGTTTTAATCGTGTCCATGTCTGTTATTTATTGTTTATTTTGTGAATTATGGTGTTGGTATGGTATCATTTATAAGATTCATGGTACGACGGCCCTCCCAACTCGTCGAGTTGCTGACCCTGCCGTTCACTCCGAAGCTCATGAAGTAAGTAATCAAAAACAATTACATACCTAGTATGTGTGTGTGTCTGCGCATTATTTACAGACAAATAAAAGTTTACACTCGTATCATGATCTTTTTCTTTATGTTCAAGGAAAACTTTGTTCACTTAAATCTCTTCATTACACATTTAGATCATCTCCAACGCCGCATTTTTGGTTTTATTAAATTTAAATTTGATGAAAAGATGAGCCTTTTGTAACTTCAATGTTTTCATCAAATAAGTATCAAATTCAAAATATCTCAAATCTTTTATCAAACAATCAAATTGAGGATGACTTGTGCTTTCATCAATTCACTGTTTATAGCCGTAAACAAACGTCATGACCGGATGGCCACCTCCTTGCAAAAATTTATGCAAAAATTACACTGGTCAATCAACCGGACAGACATAATCCCCCTAGTCAACCGGTGATTTGATGAAATTTCAAATTATTTCATTAGAACACGTGCTATCACATCAAGTTTTTACTTAAATTTGATGAAAAAAAAGTTAATTGCTGGAGATGCTCTTAGGCCTCTTCATTACATATTTAGCCTTTTTGAGAAGTGCAAAAACAATCAGTTAATTGATTTTTTAATTTATTTAGTTCACACCATCTCTCTATTTTTTGTACAAAAAATTTTATACATTTTGTACATGTTTTAAAAAAATCAACTCTTTTTGGCATTTCTTAAAACAATCCTTTTACATAATATGATTGATGAAATTCTTATAAACATCATGATGCCTTTGATGATGATATCCTCACCGAGGACGATGAATGACGAATAATATCATTTCTATTACACATTATGATTGATGAAATTCTTATTTCACAATCACATGATATAACAGGGATTTCACTACAGTTATGTAATAGAAATTATCTCACTTAACATGAATATGAATTTTTAAAGCAACTCTCATTGCATTTAGTTGCTCTATTTACTTTACCAATATATTTGTACAACAAATATTATGCGTATATGTGAGACTTACAATAAAGTGTCATGGCCATATGTGAGGCTTGCATTGTTTATCAATTTACTTCAAATTCTTATGTTTATCTATACCATAAATGTCAAGTGTATACCTAGAGTACATTATACTTAAATAAATGGTGAAATATAAAGCCTCTAATTGATATATTTCATGTTGCAGAGGAGTGATGCAGAGGAAGCCATAACAGCTCAGAAGCAAACAGAGCACAAACACATCAAAGAAAACGACCCATTTGCCACCGTAAAACCACCATACGCATCATCTCCAAAACTAGAGAGCACAGGGGTGAACCAACCCATAGACCCCATCATACAACAAAAGCGCCGCCAAACGACCACCATAGGCAGAGCACCCGTCGAGGATGTAAGCTGCACAGGCCTCGACGGCACGCCATGGCCAGAAGAAGAGAAAGAAGATAGGCGGAGACAAGAGGGAGAGTACAAGGAATATAACAGTCATCACAAGGCGTCACCGTTGTCGGAGATTGAGGTGGTGGACACCAGGAAGCCCATCACGAGGGCAACTGATGGGACGGCTGATTCACATGCAGATTTCTTGAATGCTAGTGATGAGGTGGTTTTGTGGAGGGAGGAGCAATTGGATACGGCGGAGGACTCGCTGAGGAGGGCTATGGAGATGTGGAAACAGTCTGAGATTAGGGGTATTCCTGATTCTCCACATGGAAGGGTTCTCAGAGCGCTTCGCGGTGAGGATTGGTGAATTTAATGTTTGTTGTAATTTTCTGGGGGTTTTGTACTATTTTCTGTGTAGTTTGAAATATGATGTTACAAATTTTGTTGCATTTTTCAATTTTTTTCTTTTCTTGTTTTGTGGAACGAAAAAATAAGCATAAAGCTTGGTAGTTCGAAAAAACATTGGCTCGAATGGCTTAAGTATCCAAAATGACATCGTTTTGGGTATTTTTTTTTTCTTTTCTTTTCCTCCTGTTTTCTCCCCTAGAACAGACCGAAGAAGAAGAAGAAGAAGGAAAGAAGGAGAAGGAGAGAATAAGAAGAGAAGAAGGAGATCGCCATGGACGGAGATCACTATGGACAAAGAGGCCGAAGGAGATGCCGAAGCTAGATCTTGATTTTGAATTTGGTTTTTTTGATTCTGTGGATTGATTTTGATTTTGTTTTGATTTTGGTTTTGATTTTGGATTGATTTTGGATTTTGATTTTAATTTTGGGTTTGGTTCAATCTTGTTTTCTAGAACATCCCGACCGAAACATAACAATGAATCAACTTCTTTTTCTAAATCATCCCATTAGAATCAAACTTCTTTTTCTAAATCATCCCATTAGAATTAGTTTGATGAATCAACTTCTTTTGTTTTCTACTTCTCTTTAATTCATCATCCCGAACGAAACATATCAATGAATCAATTGCTTTTTCTGTAAGTAAACCAACTTCTTTATTCTATATATATATATACAAAAATCTATACACTCGTGTGCCTGAGAAACATCTCTAATCTAAAAGAAAGATGAGATGATAATGATGAAAAAATTGGGGTGTTGTTGTTAACATCTCTAATCTAAAAGAAAGATGAGATGATAATGATGAAGAAATTGGGGTGTTGTTGTTAGTTATACTGTTGGCTTTTTTTTTTTTTTTTTTTTGTCTCTCTCTCTCATACCAATGAAGTAAAATTGGAAAGAATAATAGAAATCATCACACTCAATTAGTTTGATCACTAATCCAAAAATAGTTAAAGATCACACTTTGACAAAAAAAATATCTCACTTTTATTGGCAGTGTGATAAAAAAATTAGATTGACACTACAGGAAATGTGTGATTTAACGGCGTTTTTTTAACGGCGTTTTGTTAAACGTCACGTTTTTTAATATTTAACGACATTTTATAAACGTCGCATTTTGGTTTAAATAAAACGGTACCGTTTAACTGTACCAATGAAGTAAAACTGGAAAGAATAATAGAAATCATCACACTCAATTAGTTTGATCACTAATCCAAAAATAGTTAAAGATCACACTTTGACAAAAAAAATATCTCACTTTTATTGGCAGTGTGATAAAAAAATTAGATTGACACTACAGGAAATGTGTGATTTAACGGCGTTTTTTTAACGGCGTTTTGTTAAACGTCACGTTTTTTAATATGTAACGATCTTTTATAAACGTCGCATTTTGGTTTGAATAAAACGGTACCGTTTAACTGATAGAAGACGTTTGAAAGCGCCTCCAAATGTTATCCCCCTCTCACGCGCTCTCTCCCTCTTCAAACCCTCATTCTAAATCTGAGAAACCCTTCTTCTCACTCTCACACTTTCAAATCTGAGAAACACAAATGTATGAATCTCGCTCGCTCTGTCTAAACCCTTCAGAGATTACGATTCAACCTTAAAGTGAATCTCGCTCGCTCGCTCTCTCTAAACCCTTAAAGTGATTTCGATTTCGAAGTTCGGTTCGTAGAGCAAAATCGATTTCGTAGTGCAGAATCGATTTCAATTTCGATTTGGAAGATACAATTCGACCTTCTTCAGCTAGGTGATTTCGATTTCGAAGCTCTCTCTCTCGATTTTGAAGCTCCACCACCACCACCACCACCATCACCATCTGCATCATCTACTAAGGTGAGCACTACTGTCTACAATCTCGATTTCGATGTCGAAGTTCTCTCTCTTTCTCTCAAGATCTTCATTACGTTGATTCTTTTCCTAGGGTTTACAATCTTGAACCTCCTCTTAGGGTTTGGATCAACTCTCCTCTTGCTTGACTTGCCCCATGCGTTTTCAGGTGGTAAATTCGCTCTCTGATCTTGAAGTTCATATTTAATTATAAATTTGTTGTGAGAGATTTCAATTTGAATGCTTGACTTGCCCCGTGCGATTTCAGGTGGTAAATTCGGTCTCTGATCTTGAAGTTCATATTTAATTATAAATTTGTTGTGAGAGATTTCAATTTGAATCCATGTGTTCATTTGATTTGAATTTGAATATGAATTTGAATTTATAATTGTCAAATATTGAAATTCAATCTGTGATGCTATGATGTTGAACTTGAGTGATTGCTTCCTCATGAATTTACTTGAATTATTGTGTACTTATCATCTCTAAGTTTATATTGCAAGGCTTCTCTGTTTCAGTATTCTGTTCCCTGTTGCTGTCCTTCTCTGATATTGAAAAACCTGAGTGAGTCCAACCATGCTTAGTGGTTGTGCTAAGACTGATTTGAGGGTTCTATTACTTGTTCATTTGAAAAAATTCTAATGTGATTTTTCACAACACTGCCATGTATCATGCATGTGATTCCTGTAGATATTGTATTTGGGTAAGAAAATTAAATTAATAGATAGATAAAACACAAGTTTGATATATATTCTAGTTCTTGTAATTTGTTTCTCTGTGTCAATTTAATCTCCTATGTTCTAATACATCAATTTTCCCTTTGATTTTTCTTAAAATTGTATTAATTTTTAGTTTAATTGATAAGTCTTATTTAGAAACAAGACTCATACTACAATTAAAGGGTAAACTCTCTCTAAGTTTGGTGTTCGAGGTTACATGTTATCTCATTTTTTTCCCTTCATTTTTGCTTCTTAAGTTTGTTAAATATGAGATGTTGTATTTAATCTTATTGTTATGATTGATAAATAAACTATATGTAAGTGGGTATAATCAAACTTTGAATTCATGTCTAACTTCACTGTAACTACAAGAAAACTTTGATAAATAATTTCAAGTATTTTATGCATTAATCTCTTGCACTTGATTTGAAAAAATGGGACAGTGGTAGTATATATTTGTCAATCTATTGAGTGATCAGTAGTTATTTATTTTGTTTAGACATTTAATTTTGCATAATTTCAGCTTTGATCTTGGTGTTTGGGTCCAGCTCCTATTGTATTTGTTTGAACCATTATTCGACTACATCAAACACTTTGGTATACAAAACAGTGTTATTCCTTTGGTATATTAAATTAAAGAAGAAATGAATTTTATCTTGGATTTTTTGAATTGAGTTGAGATGCAAAATTATTGGTAAATTACCACACGATCTAGTCTCTTTCACAAGAATTGTCTATTATCTTGGAAGATTAGTTTATTTCTTGTTAATTGTGGTGACTCAGTACACCATTTGTTGTTACTTATTCATATAATCCTAAGAGAATGTGGTTTTGGTTTTGAAGTTCAGCCTCCTCTTAGCTATATGTAATTAAGCAAATTTATGTTGGACTTCTCTTTTAGTCATTTTGCAGAGTACTTCAGCTGATACTTCAACCCGGCAGCAGCAATCTGCAGGTTGTTTTCCTACCTTCGGCAAATTGTTACTATTAGGCCAAACCACCTTAATTTTGCTTCCATAGTCTCTACAATATTCCATAATTTCATCTGGAGGATATTGTAATGTGGGTGGATCGGATCAGGTCGGGCTGACCCATTTGTACAAAATCTCAGCTCAAGATATATATACGACCATTCCAATAACCAGAGCAACACCAGAAACCCTTCTATCAAAGAACCAAAACCCCATTTGTTCTATTCTCTTTCTCTCTCTCTGTTTCTGCACTGTTGTAGAAGAAGATGGTGCACTATCAGAGATATCATCATCCCTGTATCTAGGGAATAGATGTTGTTGATGAAAATAAGGATGAATCACAGACTACCCTTGCTTTAGTCTGTGGAAACTCTGCTACTAACAAGAGAACCAGTCCCAAACTTCTCTCTCCTCTCCTGCTGCTTGATTTTTGCTCGTTCAGACTTGTCTCTATTATGTAAGCTCTTCCCCTCTTCCATGCATTTCCTTCTTTTTTCCCCTTGATTTCTCATCCTATTTCTGTCTCCTCATGTTTTTTTCTTCTGGGTTTTGCAGATTCATTTGGACACGAAGATGCTAGCATTGTTGCTGAGATCGATGTAAATGCTCTCATTTGTTCCTCAATCCCAAATGGTTTGCTCTTTCTCTCTCTCTCTCTATATATATATATATATACATATGTGGGCTATTTTATATACAATTTGTGCTTTTGGTGTAATACTATCAATATGCAATTGTATTGAGATGACTATCAATAATATCTTATATATTTGTTGGAGCTCTATTCTTCACTTATGTTGCCCTATTCTCATCTTCTTCCTCTTGGTTTTCGGCATGCTGAATATTGTTCAGACGATCTGCCTTTATGCGGTATGTATTAACAAATGATTATTAAATGGTTTGCACTTGTTCTTATTCATTAACTTTAGTTTTTGGTTCATAGATGTTTACAACCATTCCATGAGCTGTTGAGCTGTTTTTGGGTTCTATGCAGAAATTTGATTGCTTGCATATTTTGCAGTGCTCTCTGATTAGATTCATGGACTTCTAGTACCTAGGTTAAAAAGGGTTATTCTATTTAATATCTTCAATTCTTGACATCTTGGTGCTAGTGGTGGATTTGCTTTTAAATGAAAAAGGCATGTTGTGATTGTATTTCATTTCATTATGTATTCATTCTTTTTTATATTTCTTTTTCTCTCTCTTTTGTCAACTAATGTATTTTTTTTTAAATTGTTCCATCTAATTTTTTCATCAATGAATAGGGGGTGCAACCTTGTGCTTTCTATCTACAAAATGGATACTGCAAGTTTGGGCGCACTTGCAAATTTGATCATCCAATGGGAACAGTAAGATATAGTCCATCAGCTTCATCTCTTACAGACATATCGGTTACTCCTTACATGGTTGGGCCTTCTCTTGCTACTATGGCTCCATCGTTTTTATTTCAGGGTCTAACCCCCATTCAAGTAGAATGCCTTTTTCTGGAAACACTTCAAGTAGTTCAGTTGGTTTGATCTTTTTACAAACTGGTTCTGCATCACTTTCTGATGTCCAGCTGTCAAGTCAGAGTACTGCCCCTTTAAGCATTAGTATGATAAGCACAAGACAAGGTGGTGAAGTTCGCCGTACAAGTAAGAGCAAAACCTAAAAACCTTTTTCATTGCCATCTAGGTCTGTCTTCACCGAACATCTCTTCTATTCTTGGAACTCATAAAGCTTCGTATAGTTTGTTTTGCAAAGTTTCATATCTTATTGTCATATTGATATATAGCCCACAATGAAACTGATCATTTGTGCTCAAATAGTTTTTTATGGCATCAAAATCAACTCCAATAAGAAGCAGAAATGTCAAACATCATGTGATCTGGAACTCGTTAACACGAAGAAAGCCATTTCCATCAGGTAAGCCGATGACTGTCCTGAGAATTGGGTATATGATGATCTGATTTTTTATTTTCTTTTCTTGGAAATGAGAAGGTTCACTAAATTCCTGTATTGTCTTTCATTGAACTTTGTTCGTGGCCTTTTCTCTTCTTTTATTTTGAATTGAATCGGACCAACTTCCGATTTTGTAACTCCGAAGCTTAACTACCTTAATTTCAAGAGGGTTTGAAAGTAGAAACCTTTTTCGAGGCTCCTAAGGAAGTTCAGTGCAGTCTCAAATTGGTATGTGAAAAGTGATTATTATGAGGCTTCTTAGTATAACTATTTTGTTGTGGTTCTAGCTAGCTAGGATGAGAGTATTTTTAAATTTTGCTTCACTGAACAAATTAATTTCCAGGTAAGGTTGAGAAATTTTGATCTTCTTCATCACAAATATTTGAGTTTAGGTCACTTTATTATTTAGTAATTTGCATTGTTGTGACTTGTGAGCCAGATTTTTTTGAAATTTCTATGACAACCCTCACCACTATTTACCGCTAAACTGAGACTAAACATGTTAATTGACTGATTGACTAAAAGTTTGAACTGATTGATTGAGTATATGAGTTTAATTGCATTTCTCTCTGTTTGACTGGTAAATTATCTGTTCATGTTCTGTGTTTAAACTGCGAATAGAAAGCCTTATCGGTGGCCGAATTAGAAATTGATTAATGTTTTTATGATCATTAGAAATTATGTGATTTAATGGTATATTTATTTAAAATGTGATTTGATACGATTAAATTAGATTAAAATAAGTTAAATTACACAAGTTGCATTATTTACAACTTTGCCACTTAGTGGCCCACTTCATACCATATGTTGAGACTTGAATTATACATTGTTTAGCATCATTTCCTCAGCCATTCCTTGAGTCCTTAGCTGACTAGAGATAAAGAGAGTGAGGAAACTTGAGTTCAACAATTTTAGCTTGGTGATTTGAGAAAATTGAAGGTTGATTGCATGTTTGGACTCCTACACCTAGAATTGAAGACATAAGGTAGAGAAATCACTCTCTTAATTGTGTATCTAAGTTGTATCTAGCATGGATCATGGTAGTTTTGAGAGCTAAGTGTAGAATTGGCTCTAGTATGTTGTATTGTAGCTCAAATCATGCATGCATGTTTACATTGTTGAGTTTGGAGGTTGGATTTCATGGGAATCTTGCATGCATGTTCATGTTTGTGTTAAAATCTATGAATTCATCTTGTCTTTGGAGAAATTGACTCACTTGAGCATGTATTTGAAGTTTTAAAGTTGATTTAACTCATGCATGTTGCATTGAGGTCATGTCCATGAAATTTGATTTGAAATTGGGTTTAATTGAACTACCTTTGGGCTTCGATTTCTCAAATGGATCTTTGAAACATGTAATACTATGAGTTTTGAAGTGTTTTTCCAGAAAATTAGCCCGAAAGGATCGAATTTGATACATTTAAAATTCATTTTGAGCTTGAGGTTCAAATCTGGGAATTCTAGATTTTGGACTCACGCTCGAGCGGGGTGACTGGCGCTCGAACGTGAAATTCATGCATCCAGCACTTTAGTTGTGTTTGCAGTTCGCTCGAGTGGGGTATTGGACGCTCGAGCGGGATCTTGTGTCTCACGCTCGAGCGGGTGTAGAGCGCCTATCGAGCGTGATTTTCACACATCCAGCACTTTTGACTGTTTTACAGTTCGCTCGAGCGGTGAAGTATACGCTCGAGCAGAACCCTTTTGTTGCAGGTCCGCTCGAGCGGAGATAGTTACGCTCGAGCGGGACCTCTGTTTTCTGAAAATTCTGAAAATATTTTTAAAACACATCTTTGCATCCTCATTTCATTCTAGGCATTCCTAGGCCTAGCTTAAGGCATCTTAATGAGGATATTGATATAGAACCACACCGAGGCAAATTAGGGATTAAGTTATTATTTTTCCCAACTGCGTAGCTTAGTGTGTGTTCAATCTGTAACTGTGTAGGGTTGGCATTCCGAAGACGCTCTAGCTTATCTGTAACCCAGAACTCTGTTAGTAACAATGTTGTAAAGATATATTCAATAATGATTATCTTCTGAACAACTGAACTGTACTGTTTTCTGAAATGATACTGTTACTAAATGAATGATGTCTTATTTGTGAACTGTATTCGTGGCATCCATAGCAACCTACTGTTACTGTACTGTACTGCTACTGTCACAGAGATCTCTGTCGGTTCCCATGTTGGAACCGCTACTATTTATTGATATGATGGCCATCAACCGACTATTCGGTCTATAAGACCTACTATACTATTTTTGTAACAACCCTCACCACTGTTTATCGATAAACTATTGATTACTGCTAAACTGAGACTGATTATGATTGGTAATTGAGCTGATTGAAATACTGGACTGACTGACTGGAATCTGAAACTGAATTGATTAAGTATACCTGTCATATTGCATTTCTATCTGTTGCCTGTTTGATTATCTGTTTATGTTTTTATGTTTAAACTGCAAATTGAAGGCCTTATCAGCGGCCGAACCGAAAATCGATTAGTGTTTTACGCTAATTGGGATTTATATGATTTTATGGTGTATTTATCTGAAATTCAATTTGGTATGGTTAAATTAGATTAAATAACATTGTATTACTAAGTACATGTATTTACCAACTTGCTATCCTTGGTGGCCCACTACCTCAACATATTGAGCCTTGTACACACTTAGACAAACTTTTTCTTCAGCCACTTTGAGAGTTCTAACCGACCAAGAGAGAGTGAGGAAGAGAATTGAATTGTTCTAGAGAATTGGCTTGTTAGACTTGAAGAGATTATAGGAGATTTGCCTAATTGAACTTCTACACTTGTAATTGAAGACCTAGGTAAGGAATTCAACCTCTTAATTGTGTCTTTAAGTTGATTCTTGCATGGTTCATGTCTAATTGAGGAGCCAAGTCATGATTTAGTTCTAGCATGTCGAATTATAGCTGAATTCATGCATGCATGCCTATATTATTGAATTTTGAGTTGATTCCATAGAAAATTGTCACATGCATGCTCATATTTATGTTAAGTCCATGAATTCATCTTGTCTTTGAAGATATTAGCTCAATAGAGCATGTATTTGAGGCTTGTAAGCGGTTTAACTTCATGCATGTTGCATGTTCATCTTGTTCATGAAAATTGGTTTGAAATTGGATTTATTTGAACTACCTTTGGGCTTTGATGTTTACAATTGAGCTTTGAATCATGTTAAACTTTGAGTTTTGAAGTGTTTTCCAGGGAATGGGCCCAAAGGAATCGAATTTGATACATTTGTAGTTGAATTTGAGCTTGAGGTTCAAATCTGGGAATTCCAGATTTTGAACTCACGCTCGAGCGGGGTGACTGGCGCTCGAGCGTGGAAATCGTGCTCCCAGCATTTTGTTCTGTTTTTAGGTCAGCTCGAGCGGGGTAATTTACGCTCGAGCGGGACCTTGTGTTTTACGCTCGAACGGGTGTCGAGCGTCCAATCGAGCGTGAATTTCATCTATCCAGTACTTTTGACTGTTTTGAAGTACGCTCGAGCGGTTGAGTCTGCACACAAGCGGAAACCTTTGTCTACATGTCTGCTCGAGCGGATTAACCTACGCTCGAGCGGGACCCCTGTTTTTTGAAAATGCTTTTAAAGTGCATCTTTGCATCCTCATTTCATCCTAGGCATTTTTAGGCCTAGTTTAAGGCATCTTAATGAGGATGTAGATGTAGAACCACGCCGAGGCAAATTAGGGATTAAGTTATTATCCTTCCCAACTGTGTAGCTTAGTGTGTGTTCTATCTGTAAACTGTGTAGGGTTGGCGACTGGGGATGCGCTCTAGCCTAACTGTAGCCCAGAACTCTGTGAGTAACAACTGTGCAAAGATATGTTCAAAAATGATTACCTTCTGAACAATTAAACTGTACTGTTTCTGAATCGATACTGTTAATAGAATGAATGTATGTCCTCTATTCTGAACTGTACTGTGGCATCCTTAGCAACTACTGTTACTGACTGTTACTGTTACAGATATCTCTGTCGGTTCCCTTGTTAAAACCACTACTGTTTACTGATTGATGGCCATCATTTACTGTTCGGTCTTTTAAGACCTACCGTTTACTGTACTGTTATGCTAATGGATGTACCACATATGACTGAATGACTGATATACTGAATCAATGAACTGTTTTCATTACTGTAAGGACATTCATTCTTAATCTCTTTACGCATTGTGTTATTCACTGAGCTTTAACTCACTGCTCATATATATATGTAGGTGTACAGGCACCAGACCGTGGCTAGAAGTGTCGGGGTAACTCCAGTTTTGTCAAGCCAACCATTGTGTCTCACTGCGACGTTCCGAGCCTGTCAAGCTGTGGCTTAGGGGTGTTTTAATTTTCCCCCGTCTGTCTCTGTAACTGTTTTGTAGACTGTATAGACTGTTACTGTACTGTTTAATAGGGATTAGGTCCCTGATCTGGATGATTATAAATGTTGTACATACTATTCTGCACTGTGTATATATATATATATGAAAAGTCTTTTTGGCATACAGACTGTCACGGCTCATTGGACATTGTTTATTTACTGTTTTGACTTCCGCCATGCCCCTGTACTCTGTTTTACTGTATTACTGTTAAGCAGGCCTTCAGCAATCTCGGATTACTGGTCGGTTACGGTGCTAGACCCACAGGGGCGGGTTTGGGCTGTGACAGAGTGGTATCAGAGCGATACTTACCACGAGTTATACCGCACACACGTGTCCAAATGAGCTATAGGATGTTCTAGAAAAGTGATTAGGGCATTACATGAGCATGATAAGTGTGTGGCTATGACATGACTGAATATATGCTAATGTGTTAATCTGTTTAAACAAATGACTGCCTATGTTGATAACTGTTATAGCTGCCTATAGTGAAATGGATAATGCAAGAACTGTAAATGAATCTGAATCCTCATCTTCTGAGGCAAGAATGACAAGACTAGAAAGAATAATGGAACTAATAACTGAAAGACTAGATCAACAACAGAATCAACAGCCCCCACCTCCTCCTCCGGTACAGCTGGAATAGAATGTGAATGTTAATGATGGGGACATAATTGTTCTCACCCAAAAGTTTAGTAAAATAAAACCGCCGTCCTTTCAGGGAGGCCTTGAACCGTTAAAAGCTGAAGCATGAGTTCTTGAGACTGAAAAGTTATTTGAGGTGTTTCCGTGCTCTGAAGCACATAAAGTACTGTTAGTTACCTTCACCTTACAAGAAGAGGTTACAAGGTGGTGGATGCTTAACCGTGGTGACAACACTGTTATGACTTGGGCTCAATTCAAAGGAGCCTTCTTCGAAAAGTATTTCCCTCAGTGTGTTAGGGACGGAAAGGTAACTGAATTTGAATAGCTGAGACAGGGCACAATGCCCGTTGCTGAATATGAGACAAAATTTACTGAACTTGTACGTTATGCACTACACATGGTGGACACTGATTATAAGAAGGCCAGAAAGTTTGAAGGCGGCCTTAATGTTGCAATACTGGACAAAATTAATGTTTTGAAGCTACCGAATTATGTAAATGTTCTTGACCGAGCTTTGATGGCTAAATCGAACATCGAGGCACTGAAAACTGAAATACCAGCGTCTGAATGGCGTGGTAAAAGACAGGGTTTTAAATTCAAGAAAGGCAAGCATAACCCATTGAACAAGAAACAGAATACGGGGTCAACAACTAGCCCCAGCCAAGGGAGTGGTTTCATACCACCCTGTTCTGAGTGTGGCAGGAAGCACAAAGGGGTCTGTTACAAAATATCTGGAGCCTGTTACAGGTTTGGCAAGGTGGGCCACATGGTTAAAGACTGCCCCTCTGCTCCACAAGCCAATAGTAAAGCTGCACCAAGCGTGGCAGCATCAACTGTTGCACCAAAATCGAACCCCAAAGCTACCGGGAAAGAGCCCATGAGGCAGGGCCGAGTGTTCACCCTAGTACCGGGAGATGTGCAGAATACGGAGACCGTTGTGTTAGGTATTCTCTCGATTTGTACTCAAAATATTTATGTACTGATTGATTCGGGGTCTACGCATTCATATGTGTCGCATGCTTTTTCGCGAAAACTGAATAAACCATTAGAACCCATGAATTATCTGTTAGCTGTATCATCACCCGTTGGGGGATCCATGACTTGTGCATATATATACCCTGCTTGTGAAATTATTGTTGGAGATGCACATTTGTTTATTGACTTGCTGCCACTGAACATTGATCATTTTGATGTAATATTGGGAATGGACTGGTTAACGAAATATCATGCTACTATAGATTGTGTAATGAAACAAGTAGTTTTCCGTCCACTTGGTTTACCCGAATTTGTGTTTAATGGGGTTGGAGTAGTACCTCCTCCGTATTTGATTTCATCTGTGAAAGTTGTTAAATTGATTAGAAATGGGTGTAAAGGATATCTGTGTTCCGTATTGACTGTATCTACTGATGATAATGCTAGCGTGAACAGTATTCCTATAGTCAGAGAATTCCCAAATGTTTTTCCAGATAATCTGCCAGGGGATTTGATTGACAGGGAGATTGAATTTACCGTTGATGTGATTCTGGGAACACAGCCAGTATCTGAAGCTCCTTACCGAATGGCTTCAACTGAACTGAAAGAATTGAAAGTGCAACTGCAAGAACTGTTAGACAAAAAGTTCATCAGGCCTAGTACTTCACCATGGGGCGCACTTGTCTTGTTTGTGAAAAAGAAAGACGGCTCACTGAGACTGTGTATTGACTACCGTGAACTGAACAAGGTAACTGTGAAAAATAAATACCCATTGCCACATATTGATGACTTATTTGATCAGTTACAGGGTGCTCAAGTGTTCTCTAAGATCGACCTCAGATCAGGATACCATTAGTTGAAAGTTAAACCAAAAGACATTGACAAGACTACTTTTCGAACGAGGTATGGACATTACGAATTCTTAGTTATGCCTTTCGGAGTTACCAATGCACCTGCTGCATTAATGGACCTCATGAACGGAATCTTTAAACCATACCTTGATAACTTTATTGTTGTATTCATTGATGACATACTGATTTACTCCAAAAGTATAGAAGAACATGAACATCATCTGAGACTTGCCCTACAGACCCTAAGAGAACAGAAACTTTATGCTAAACTGTCTAAATGTGAATTTTGGCTTGATCATGTTATCAGGGAAGGAAAAAAAAGGGAAAAAGAAAAAATTTCGTTTTTTTGAACACACACACAACCACACACCAAGAACCCCGGCGGGCCCCCCCCCCCGCTCAAAGGCCAGGTTTTTTGGCCGCCCCGCCGGAAGGGCAAAAGAACAACCAAAGATTCTCCCTAACTTGCTCTAGATACCATTAAAAGAAATAATGTATTATTGAATTTAATTGATCTGTGCTTATGTATTACCTCCTATATTATAGAAGAGAAGCGGTAGTAGGTTGTAAGTGGTAAGTGGAGGTGGTAGGTGAAGTGCGGTGCTAGTGGAAGAATGGTAAGTGTGGTGGTCAGGTGAAGTGGGTGCTAGGGAAGAATGGTAGGTGGAGGAAGCAAATTGTAAAAATCCTCACAGTTAAGTCCATGAATTCATCTTGTCTTTGAAGATATTAGCTCAATAGAGCATGTATTTGAGGCTTGTAAGCTATTAAAACTTCATGCATGTTGCATGTTCATCTTGTTCATGAAAATTGGTTTGAAATTGGATTTATTTTAACTACCTTTGGGCTTTGATTTTTACAATTGAGCTTTGAATCATGTTAAACTTTGAGTTTTGAAGTGTTTTCCAGGGATGGCGCCAAAGGAATGAATTTGATACATTTGTAGTTGAATTTGAGCTTGAGGTTCAAATTTGGGAATTCCATATTTTAAACTCACGCTCGGCGGGTGACTGGCGCTCGAGCGTGGAAATCGTGCTCCCAGCATTTTGTTCTATTTTTTAGGTCAGCTCGAGCGGGGTAATTACACTCGAGCGGACCTTGTGTTTTACGCTCGAGCGGGTATCGAGCGCCCAATCGAGCATGAATTTCACCTATCCAGCACTTTTGACTGTTTTGAAGTACGCTCGAGCGGTTGAGTCTGCGCCTCGAAGCGGAACCTTTGTCTGCATGTCCGCTCGAGCGGATTAACCTACGTTCAGTGGCGACCCCTGTTTTCTAAAAATGCTTTTAAAGTGCATCTTTGCATCCTCATTTCATCCTAGGCATTTTAGGCCTAGTTTAAGGCATCTTAATGAGGATATAGATGTAGAACCACGCCGAGGCAAATTAGGGATTAAGTTATTATCCTTCCCAACTGTGTAGCTTAGGTGGTGTTCTATCTGTAAACTGTGTAGGGTTGGCGACTGGGGATGCGCTCTAGCCTAACTTAGCCCAGAACTCTGTGAGTAACAACTGTGCAAAGATATGTTCAAAAATGATTACCTTCTGAACAATTAACTGTACTGTTTCTGAATCGATACTGTAATAGAATGAATGTATGTCCTCTATTCTGAACTGTATTGTGGCATCCTTAGCAACTACTGTTACTGATTGTTACTGTTACAGAGATCTCTGTCGGTTCCCTGTTGGAACCACTACTGTTTATGATTGATGGCCATCATTTACTGTTCGGTCTTTTAAGACCTACCGTTTACTGTACTGTTATGCTAATGGATGTACCACATATGACTGAATGACTGATATACTGAATCAATGAACTGTTTTCATTACTGTAAGGACATTCATTCTTAACTCTTTAGCATTGTGTTTATTCATGGGCTTTAGCTCACTGCTCATATATATATGTAGGTGTACAGGCACCAGACCGTGGCTAGAAGGTCGGGGTAACTCCAGTTTTGTCAAGCCAACCACTGTGCCTCACTGCAGAGCGTTCCGAGCCTGTCAAGCTGTGGCTTAGGGGTGTTTTTAATTTTCCCCCGTCTGTCTCTGTAAATGTTTTGTAGACTTATAGACTATTACTGTACTGTTTAATAGGGATTAGGTCCTGATCTGGATGATTATAAAATGTTGTACATACTGATTCTGCCCTGTGTATATATATAATATATGAAAAGTCTTTTTGGCATACAGACTGTCACGGCTCATTGGACATTGTTTATTTACTGTTTTGGCTTCCGCCATGCCCCTGTACTCTGTTTTACTGTATTACTGTTAAGCAGGCCTTCGGTAATCTCGATTATTGGCCGTTTTACGGTGCTAAACCCATAGGGGCGGGTTTGGGCTATGATAGTTTTGCTATTGGATGTACCACATATGACTATTATAGTTTCTGAATGACTGTTAGCATGAAATATGACCCATAAAGTGAATGACTGATATACTG